GAGACGAGCCATGGGGCGGATCCCGGTGGGGGGTCGTGTAGCAGGCCCCCCTGGGGCCCCGCGCGTCCCAGGCCGGGCGCTGCTCCCGGGCCGCCTTCCGCTCGCCGTGTCGGCACGAAACTCGCTCCTGGGTGGACGAGACAATCAGCACCAGCGGCACAACTGTACGCATGTGACCGGCACGCATGTCAGGGCAGTGCCAACCTCACTGCACCTGATATAATTCAACGACAAGCACTCAGCTCGACTGACGATCAAGCACTTACCGATTCAATGCAGTCAGTCAGCAGTGGTGAGTCGCCTCCTTATCACTCTTTTATCGCTACTACCACGACGGTTACTGTTCCCGTGAACTTGTTGAGAAGTCTTTTCCCATCCATACTGTGTTTAACCACCATACTGCTGGCCACAACACTCACTCACCCATGAACACACTTACCCACTCACCTACTCAATCATTCACTTACGCACCACACTGCAGAGCTAAACACTACTCGTTTTACTCTTTGGTTCTTTCGGTAAAGTCACGTATAAAGATAAAATAATAAATTAAATAATAGCATACTACGACGTTTCGATTGCAACACAAGCAATCATCAGGTATAAAAGAAATAGCAACAAAAATCTAACCAGAAAACTATAGACAGACATATAAGCAGACAGATATCACAAAGATACACAGAGAAAGAACACGCATCGGCACACAGAGAGAGAACGTCTCTACTCGTTTTGCTCCTTTCCTCACACTGCCCAACTTTGGAATTCCTTCCTATCGTCTCTTTTGCCAAGCGCAAATAAATTTTCTCAAGTTAATAAAAGTGTTAACTCGTGTTTATTACAAGTCTCTTCAGCTACACACATACATCAAACCACAGCAAGCCAGTCTTGTAATTCCTCCACGAGCTCCAAGTTCAACAACAACAGCAGCCGCCATTCGCCACTAAGTGGTGGTGACGTCACGAGGGCGCACGTTAAGGCCACGTGAAGTGTTGAACGCCCGCAACAGGTCACGGGACAGACCCAGCAGGTGCCATGGTTGGAATAATATCGATGACTGCCCGATGCACCACCTGTGCCCCCGACTGTGCCAACTTGTTGTTTTAGCCACCCGGCATTCCGCTCGTTGTTGTGAGCGTCGCTCATCTGCCCTCCGTTGTTGTTGGAGGGCGACTGCCTCCAACTGCCCAGTAGCGTCCTTCACGAGCCTCCTCCACAGAGGCCGATCTTGACACCGCTGGTACCTGTCATCGGCAAGTCCACTCAGCTCCACATCCTGTACCACATCACTCCATAGCTCCAAGTTCACCGCCAGTTAAACACTCATCACCTTCAAGATCCTCCATGAACTCACCCCCTGCCTTACCTCTCCACTCTCGTCTTAATCTACTCCCCTCCACTCAAGACTCCTACCTCTCTATTCTTATCTCATTCTTCTCTCCTTCACGTGTCCTAAACTCCAACAAACGAGGACTTATTGCAAACACCTCAACCAACCTGCACTCAACAAGGGGTCACTCCTCTACTGTTAACGCCATCGCTTGGAACGGGACTCCCTTCCACCCGCCAGCCCACCCCAACCCAAGTCCAGGCTCCGTCTCTCTGTTCACGACTGTTTTACCATCTTTTAAGTGCTCCAGTTTGCACTTTACACGCACAATCCCCTCCCTTGAGTTCCCATGTCCCCCACGTTATGGACAGCGCCTTGAGAAGCATTAGGAATCAGCAGGAGCCATGATCAACTCAGTTAGTCCACGTTTACAAAGTATCAATCAACAAGCAATCATGTGTTTACGTCTGAGTGGCCTTGATTAGTGAATGGGTCAACTCGTTAGCCGTCGCGGTGTGAATGACAACGCCGTTCGTCGCAAGTGGTTGTCACACAAGTCGCTGTTATATGCCACATCAAGACATTGGAACCACGAACGCGGTGCCAAGCGGCACCGACAACTTGAGAGGTCTCCACTGGATGAAGGCCTCCCAAGGCCACCGCTCTATAAACAAACTGCTTTGTATTGCTGCGCTCTTGTCGTGTCCTATGGATAGGCTCCCCGCCACAGGAACGTGGAATTGCCATCACTGGCTCTGCCCTGACTGTACTGACACGCGGTTACATTGAGCCGCGTGATGGTGGAGAGTCAACGCGGTAAGCAGGCGGTGAGTAGGCCTCGCCTCGCCGTGCTCGCCACTCGCACGCAGCTCGCGCGACTCACATTGCTGCTGCTGCGGCTTCGTAAACCACGCGCCGCCGGGGGTTTCTCCAAATGCCCGGAGAGTTTCTCTGGAGACGAAGAAAACTTCGCGACTGCAGGAGGCGAGGTTCGTATTGGAACCGCGACTCAGGCGTCAGGGCCGTTCTCACGGCAACCAGGAGCGGGATGACGTCACTGCCGGGTACATGACGACATCCGCTAATCCCCGCGCCTCGTGACGTCATCTTCCGATACCACGCACCGTGACGTAAGCCTACCGACGACCACATCTCGTGACGCCATCCGCTCACACCACGCCTCGTGACGTCATTCACGGACCGTGCACCTCGTGACACTTCACCTGACGGCTCGTAAACCCTCAACTGCGTCACGTCGTCTGCTAATTTCGTGTGCGCAAAGCTGAGGTTCGTTGCTCCATCTCCACAGGGGGCGGCCTCTGTCGCCGTCTTGCCTCCTTTTGCTCACTCAGTTTTTGGTCTTGAGTCTTGACCATCGGCCATCGTCACATTGTGGTGGAAGTTCCACATGCCTATATAATTGTCACATCCCTATGGACATTCCACATCCCTATGAGCCAGGTGGCTATGCATATGATAACCACTGCTTGACGTCCCCCACAAAGTGGTATGGGCCGAGTAAAACACACCCCCCGCCCCCCACACACAGAATTTGCACTTGCAACCTCCCGATTGCAAGTTCCTTGTAAGGAGGAACTACGGACGAGCGGGCAAGGCAGCCACGGCTGTGAGCCGGCGCCAACAATTACCCAAGCTCTGCGGTTCTCTGTACGCGAAGGGGTTATCGGCCAATTAATAAGTGCTTAAGTGTGGGAGGAAACCGGAGCGCCTGGAGAAACCCCATACGTGCGAGGGGACAACCCTCTATCCCAGGGGTCGGCAACCAAAATAACAAGAAGAGCCATTTCTTTCCAATTCGGTACAAAATTCAGTATTTCAAGAGCCGCAATGCATCTGAGTACATGTACTCACGTCAAAAAGCAGCCCGTAAAGAGCCGCATGCGGCTCCGGAGCCGTAGGTTGCCGACCCCTGCTCTATCCCATACAGACGGAACAGGTGGAGTGCATATTCTTAGGTTTTTTCGGTTAAGTCACGTAAGTAAAACATCAAAATAAAAATAAAATTAAAATAAAAAATCACGACGTTTCGGAGGCAACACAAGTCTCCGTCATCAGGTGGGACCGTCACAGCCGAATTAGCTGCATCAAGTGAAGCAATGATTCAAGATGTAATCCCTTATAAGCAAGTTGAAGGGAGGTGGAGAGGGGGGGGGTTGGAGAGCTTATCAGACTGTGGTAGCCAATGAATGGAAACGTATCGGGAGGGAGGAGGAGCGGTGATCAAAGACTGCACGCAGTGCTCAACACAATGAAAGGAAGGTGGAGTGCACATTTTGCCGTAACGCCTTCTCCTGGCGAGCCGGGATTTGCTTCCTCCTCCCCCTCCTCGACGCCCACGGAAAGGGAGTGTCGCAACACGTGTGTGATCCACCCATACTCGCTGCCTCCGTCGTGTGCTGACTCCAGGTGGGCGCTAAAGCCGCCATGCCAAATACCCATTTTGTGGGTCCGTGGCAAATTTCGCTGAGCGCCAACACTCGAGAGGGGGCCCTGCAGGGGGTTGTTTGGCCTGGGTGCCGTGGTGGTGAGATGTTAATTGCTTCCCCTGGTATACAGGAGGTCGTGGGTTCGATCCCGACCATGACGCCTGTGTATTTGTAGTTCGCATTCTCTCTCCCCATGGTCGCGTGGATTTTTCTCCAGGTCCTCCGGTTTTCCCCTCCACATTTAGAAACATGCGCTTACAGTATTTGGCTGCTATAAATGTCCACATTGATAAACCACTTCGTTGAGCTATCATTTGTGGCCCATGTCGCTTACAGTTCAATGGGCCTTCCCCGGTAAAATAAAAATAGTTAGCTAGTCAGACACATGTCGGAGGATACCGGAGAATCCTGAAAAATAGTTCCAGACATACAAGGCAACAGCACTCAAAACTCAACACAGATAGCATCAAGAATCCGTTGTAACTGTCAACCGAAGTGACATTCCCTCACCGCCTCACAGCCATTGCCTGGAACACGTGGTATTCTCAGGCGCCAGTCTCAATCCTTACTGAAGAGGGGCGCATACATGACGATGTATTTGTAGGGCATTTGGGTGCTTGCTGATAGCTGCTGGTGAGGTTAAAATAGCTTCACAATCGCTAAAATACGTTTTGTTGACACCCAGAGATTGGACAGTGGAGTCACGTTATGCAGATATATTACGACAAAGGCGGATCACATTCACCACGACACGCTGAGCGCTGCTTCGTCGCATCATGGTTCACATTGCACATCAATGTTTACATCCAGCAAGGCATCCCCATAACATGACACGTACAATCAGTAACAGTTGCTTTGATTTCTGATCAGTTATTTTGCTCTGATTTCTATTTACTTCTTTGATGTGCTTTGTTTCCATATTGTAGCTTTTGTGATTTTGATTCTTAAATATGTTATTATTAGTGTTCACGTGAGGTTAGAAACACTTAAGTCTGTCTGTGCTCTCCAGTTGCCTGGGTGAAAAGTGGACTAAGTTATTGGCCAATCCTGGCCGAGCTGGCTCAAAAACGCAATAAACTAACTAACGTGACCCGAGTCGCTATTGCAGAATTAGACTCTTTCCAGGCCTCGTGAGGTCTCTCCCGGTTAAAGAAACTTGAGCAAATTGTTTTCATCACATCAAAATAGCCCTGGAATATAGATTCATATATCATGTACTACTAACATTCCGTAAATTCCATGTTTATAAAGTGACTCCATGTGATCATATGAACAATTTAAAAAACACAGACTCGTTGAGATTCGACGACTCGGTTTGTGGCTCGCGGCCACTCTAGATCCGCGCGTCACCATCAACCATAATGTTTTTACACGGACCACGCGCACCCGTAACATTTTACAGACTTACAACCACTCTAACCACTCTAACGAATGCACCTGCTGTCTTGATTAATATTTTAAAAAATCTAACATCAATTATGTATTTGACAATTCAAATATATGTAATTGTCATGTTATTAAATGTCATTCTTGTTAAAGTGAGAAGTCAATAAATATCTAAGTGTGTGATCTCCAGTTGACTGGCTGAAAAGTGGTGCTCTCCTTACCCAATCCTGGCCAGCCTGGCTCTAAAACTCGATAAACGATCATCGCACCTCCAATCCGCACGGTTGGCTACGTACGATGCAAAAGAACTTCAACATACATCCAAATATATAATTCATTTGTGCAATGGGCAGCAACAAGAAATAGCTGCTTTGTGAACACAAATTTCCGCGACAGTTTCAAGGGGGCCACTTCCCCATGGGGGCTTTGCGGCACGGGGTGGGGAGCCACTGCACTCGGAGATGGCTGAACCCCCAAGGGATGGCACTTGCGGCCGTAAACGAGGTGACGGGTCACGCCGCCGCGTCCCGTAGGTCCCAGGTCACGATCAGAGGTCGGCCACCTGGACTTCAGAGTTCCCCAAGCTGACAAACGCTCACGCTGATGCTGCTGCTACAAGGCCGACCACGGCACGCTGGACCCACAAACGACGCCCGGTGGAGCTGTTCGTCTACGGCACGCGCGCCGTTCCAGGACTACTCACTTAGGATCACTTGATCCCGTGCGGCCCTGCCACTTGAGCGTGATATCTAGCGGTCGCCGCAATCACCGAGACGCACGTGCAGTTTGGAAACCGTGATGCGACATCGACGCGTTAGGGGCGGTGGCATGAATGCAGAAGAGCCGGTATGAAGTCGATTCGTCCTTGCAGCAGCACACGTTCGATGCCCTTTGTTTCCCCTCTGCAGAAGGGTTGCGTTGTAGGAATAGGAAGCATCCTGAAAGTGCGGGTAGACACGTGCGTGTTTGGTGTTCAGAGAAGCGCCGGTATACAATACCGGCATGTACCGAAACGTTTGCTCCTCTGTGCGTTTGTGAGAGGAAAGGAGGCCCAGGCATCGCATCGGAAACGATAAATATAAGAAAAAAGTCAAAAGTTATTTCCTGCTCACATTGGGCATTGAGGCATTGGTGCTAATTTCCCGTTTACAGCCCTGCAGAGCCAGTGGTGGAAATTAGTCGCATGGTGTCTACCGATAAGACAACCCGCAGATATCTTTCCCCACAAAGTGGAACTCATTTTTATCGACCCTGAAAGGTTAATGGGCCAAGTCAAGCCCTTCTACCAGGATTTTAACTTCCAATCTTCCAAATGTGAGTCGCTCGCTCTATACTGAGCAGCCATCTGGCTGGCTTGGGGTAAACCCTCGTTCGATGTTGTGCTATTACCGGATAACACCACGGTGAGTGGTGATGCGTGGTTGCCTATCAGAGGGTCATCACCGTTTGTCCGCTACACGACCAGGTTGGCCGTGCTGGCCGTTTGTTCAACGGGCTGCGTGGCCGCGGGGCCCTCCCTGGTCGTGGCGAGCCTGGCCAGGAGCCGCCTTGTCGTGAGCACCATGCACGAGGCCAGCAGCACGAAGGCGCGTGTCGTGACGCCGTACACCACCGTGGCCACGAGGATGATGCCGCCACCGGCGAGGAGGACGACCGCGACCCCGTGCATGGCTGTCCAGGCGGCCGCCCCGGAGTTTCTCTGTTGCGCGACAACGAGCATCGCAGAGCCCGCTATGACGCCGCCGGCTCCGCTCAGCAGGAAGATGATGACATCGAGGCCTCCTCCGTCCATCAGGAAGCTCACGGTTGACCTCCTATAGACGAAGCTCATGTGATGCACGGTGGAGATGACCAGCAGCTTGAAGACCACCAGGAAGCTCCACATGCAGAGGAAGATGGCCGCGCCAAACTGCCAGTTCACCTGGGCGTACGAGACATCGACGATGATGACGACGGCCCCGATCATGCAAGCGACGGAGAGACCCACCGACGCGAAAAAGCACAGGGTGGAGCTCCGGGGCTTCTCAAACCACCAGAGGTCCACGTCGCCCTCCAGGGGGTCCGGGTTTGGCGGGGGCGCAGCGCCACGGCCTTGCGGGAGACCCCCGCCGTTGGCGGCCGCCGCATCCACGTCGGTGTCGGTGTCTCCTGCCGGCTCGGACATGGCGCTGTCGCGCTGCACGGACAGGGGTCGCACGCGCACTCGGTTGACACAGCGGTAGAGCGATCAGACCACCACCTCGATCCTAGTATCTCTCAACACCACTTGTCGTAGCCTTACGGATACTAGTGTGGCATAAAATCAACAGGTGGCTGAAACCACTGCCCGAGAGGTTAGTCACTTGGACCCCATTTCACGAACATCACCGAGGTCACTGATAACAGACCATGGAGCATATTAAACGAAACTATTTTTTACTCGTGTAATTTCCCGTTACATGACGGATTCATGAAAAAAAATATTTCATGAAAAACACGACAATTTAAAGATTTTATTGCATTTCTCTATTCGAAAAATGTTTCTATGTAAATCACCTTCATCGAGCTATATAAAAGCTGTTACTATTTATTATTGATCGGAAGGGGAGAGGTCTGTGTTCACGAATTTTCACAAATGTTCACTCTAACTGTGAGCAAAAGTCATCAAAGTGAAACAGCAGAGTTATAAAGCGAAGGGATCTCAATGTTAACCACAAATGACTAAAATACATATCTGACTGGATCTATGAATACATCTATGACTAGGTTTGGACAGTACTTGCTTTTTGAGCAAAATAATGCATGATGCATCTGAACCTGATATTGCGTCATACATTATATGAATTGCATCATGTTATTCCTAGAAGTCATGGATGATGCAATCATAACTAGGCTTACATCCCTCTGCTGAACAAATTGCCCTATATCAGCTCGAGAAATCATGCAGTATCGTGCTCTCTTATTTGTCAGTGTTTGATTTTGCAAAGGGACACAATTCTGTTCAGCCAAAGTGAGCAGAGATGCCTCGTAATTGTGTGAACAAAGCAAATAACTTCTGCTATGTTTGTGGTGAAGTGTATTTTGCATCGCAAAAACGCACGATAACCACTATCGTTAAGAGAGCCTTTAAACTTTCTTTTGGCTGCAAAATTGGAGATCAGGACAAAATGTGGGCACTACACATATGCTGCAACACTTGTGTAACAAATCTTCGCCAGTGGTTGAACAGGAAAAGGAAATATATGCCTTTTGCAGTGCCAATGATTTGGAGAGAGCCAACAGATCACATCAGCAATTGACACTTCTGCATGGTGCCTCCAATTGGGAAAGGTGTGTCAAAGAAGAAAAAATGGACTGTGCATTATCCAAACATTCCATCAGCTATATGCTCAGTACCCCACGGAAAAGGAATGCCGGTTCCTGATGCACCAGAATCATTATCACTTGAGTCAGAGGAGGAAGAGGCTAAAACTTCTGGTCCTGAACCATCAAGGTCACATAACCCAGATTTTCTCCCATCCTCCTCCTCTGAACCACACCTCATAACACAAGGTGAACTGAAAGACCTTGTCAGGGATTTTGAACTACCCAAGGGCAAGGTGGAGCTGTTGGGCTCTAGACTGCAGCAGTGGCATCTCCTGCCAAATGATGTTAGGATTTTCATGTTTCGTGACCGTCAAAATAATATTGCCCCATTCTTCTTCATGGAAGGTGATCTTGTAGCCTGCAACAACATCGATGGTGTGATGGCAGCCCTCGACATCGTTCATGATCCAGATGAGTGGAGACTGTTCATTAGATTAATCGAAGATTAATCTTAAAGCTGTTTTGCTGCATAATGGCAATGTTTTGCCATCAATTCCAGTTGGTCATGCAGTTCATATGAAGGAAACATGACAACATGAAACAACATTTGAGGTACATAAACTATGACCAACATCAGTGGCAGCTTTGTGGCGATTTGAAGGTTGTTGCTCTCTTGCCTGGTCTGCAGACTGGATACACAAAGTACCGCTGTTTTCTCTGCGAATGGGATAGTCGCGTGAGAGATTCCCACTACATCAAGATAGATTGGCCACACCGACAGTCATTAGAGCCTGGGAGGAAAAGTGTTCAGCATCCAACACTTGTTGAATCAAGGAAGATTTTGTTACCACCCTTACACATAAAGCTGGGTCTGATGAAGAACTTTGACAAAACACAAGCAGCTTTCAAGTACCTCCGTGGAAATTTTCCAAGGTTAAGTGAAGCTAAGATAAAGGAAGGTGTTGGTCCTCAGATTCGTGAACTTCTTCGAGATTATACATTTGACATCGCACTGCATGGCAAGGAAAGACGGCATGGAACGCCTTCCAGTTAGTGGCAACACATTTTCTCGGAAACAACAAGAGAGTTAGTGGAAAACCTCCGGCATACAAAAGCCTTGGTTGCAGCATGTCACTAAAGATATATATTTTGCACTCTCCTCTCGATTTTTTCCCACCGAACTGCGGAGCAGTGAGCGACGAGCATGGCGAGCGATGTCACCAGGACATTGCGATAATGGAGAAACGCTATTAGGGCAAATGGAGCCCATCAATGCTTGCAGACTATTGCTGGACAGTGACAAGAGATGCTCCATTTAATGAATACAAGAGACAAGCCAAGAAGCGCCGAGTAGACACTGAATAAGGACTAAACTATGTACTTATATATACATAATAGCTTTTTGCCTTTTGTTTCATAATACATTTTCTTTTTGTAATCCTTTTGCTGATTTTTAAGTGTTACATGAACAGCCCAGGTGACATGTTATAGTGTAAACCAACCATAAACACATGAAAAGACCGAGGTTTACAATTTAAGAGTAAAACTCTATCTACAAAATATAGATAGACCTAAAATGTAAAAACTTTAATATCTTGGGAACAATAGGCAATCATTTGTTTAATTGTCTTATTTGAATTCAGCACATCAAAACCATAATAAACAGCACATTTAATCTCTGAAGAAGACGATGTCTAAAGAATTGTAGACCAGTGTAATCAGTAACAATTTTAAGAAGCCTTTCATTAATTTTCTTTTTTAAATTGCATGAAAATCCACGGAGCCTACCCAGCGTTACACACGGCGTACATATCACCAAAACGACGTGCATAACTTGAGGAGGTAAGGCCCACTGATCTATGTAGCTGTTTTTCAGAAGCAACCTGGGCACAAATGATCGCCCATCGAAGTGGCTTATCACGTGGAAAAGTATAGCGGCCAAATGCTCTAAAAGCACGTTTTTAAATGGAGACGGAATATCCGGAGGACATCAGGGTCGGGGTCGAAAACACGACCTCCTGTATACCCTGAGAGGTAGCGAACATCTCGCCAGAGCGGCTCAATGTCAGATTCACAAATAGGAAGGAGACATCATCACAGCGATACACTCTGACGCAATCGTCTGGCTCATCAGCCACCTCAACGTAGAAGTGCAAGCTACGTTGCTCTACACCTACGTGAGCCGCACAAAAATGGAAGACTGGGCCCTGGTCCAAGACGAAGTGAACGCGGCCTTCGATGGACGCGGTTCTCAGCAGAGACTCACGGAGGCGCGCGGACGATGTCGCTGCGCAGGAATGGGTTACGGACACCGCACCGGCTGAGTTGACGAGACCAAAGTCTCGTCCGGGGTTAATGATTTGCCGTGCAACACAACGCAACAACACCGTTTCCTGGCGATGCGGTGATAGAGTGCGGTCTAAGGTACACCGTCTCAAGCACCATGACCGTCACAACCCACTTGCTCCACCCCATGTGTATAACACTCAACCACTAAATCACTGAGTGTCGTCACGGATATAATAAGTAACGCAATAAATACAGTACGCTGATGATACACCTACCTGCCCATATTTGTCTCGCCGCATAAAAAATGGGATGTGTAAAAACACTTTTTTTACACATCCCATCAGTGATGATTTTTTTCAGAAGCTATTGGTTTCATCGAAGCAAAAACTCTGCATCAAACTCGACATTGTGTTTAGTTTTGATGTTTTATTGAGTTTGTTGTCCTTGCCCGCACCTCAGATTAGCAGGGTTGGCTACGTACGGTGGGAACGAAGTCCAAAATAGATAAAGAAGAGTCAAGCTGGCTTAAAGTACGTTTGATTTCTTAGAGACGTTCAAATATCGACAACATATTTAATAGACGTACTTAATACATCCCCAATTATCTACAATATATATACAATCACTAAATAACGGGATATATCCTTAATTATAGGCAAATTGATCAATTTTTGAGCACGCATAAAGAATCAAACTTAGCAACAAATATCTTGCCTTTGCGGGGACCAAGAGCAGTGGTTACCAACGGGGGTTACGTGAGGTGATTTACCAACGTGAGAAATTATATCTGTGCTACATTAGAGTAATTGGTGAATGATCATGTTGTATGAATCTCCATTATAGAGGTTTTTTTGGGTTAGATCGCGTAAATATATAAATGTGTCGTTAAAACCCACCACAACCAACTAGTAAGGGTTGTCACGTAAACAGAACATGGCCAATTCGTCACCAGTACAGCACTAGTGTGTAGTGTAGTGTATAGTGTAGTGCAGGGGTCCTCAAACTACGGCCCGCGGGCCACATGCGGCCCGCCGAGGACATTTATCCGGCCCATGGTCACTAATTGGGCTGCGCTTGTGAGCACTCATTGGGCTGCGCTTGTGAGCACTAATTGGGCTGCACTGGTGAGCACTCATTGGGCTGCGGTGGTGGGCACTGATTGGGCTGCGGTGGTGGGCACTGATTTGGTTACACTGGTGAGCACTGATTGAGCTGCGGCGGTGGGCACTGATTTGGTTGCACTGGTGGGCACTGATTGAGCTGCGGCGGTGGGCACTGATTGAGCTGCGGCGGTGGGCACTCATTGGGCTGCGCTGGTGAATGGTTCAATGGGCCAATTGGCTGGACTTGCCCCCCAGGCCTAAGGCTGCCAGCCCTCCCCTGGCTGCGCTAGACTGGCTCTCCCTCCCTCAGCTCCCCTCACTTGCCCCTCGGCTCCACTCCCAGTGATATTCCTGTGTGCTGGGGATGTAGATCCCCAGCACACGCACCGCTGAGTAAATGATAGAGGGGTAATAACAGAGTGATCTCTGATCTCTGGAGGGGCTGCCTGCTGTTTTCCTGTGCTGGTCAGTGACAGACAGCCGAGGAGTAGGAAACCCAATTTAAATGACAGTAAGTGCATTTATATTCTGATTGCTATTCAGTTGTATGAGGTTATATGTTGTATGTTGTGTAAGCCCCGGTTCATACTGTTGTGAGCAGTGCGAGTTCAGCCATATGCTTGTATGGCTGAACTTGCATTAGATTCGGAAAAAAGGCACATGTGCCTTCTTTTTTCCTGCAGTGGAATCGGATCGCATGGGTCTTCTCCCCCATGCGATCAGATGCCTATGCGAGTTCGCAGATCGCACTGCGATCTGTCAACAAAACTGCAGGTGTAATTAACTTTTTAATGGCACCCGCACCAGTGTGAGCCTGGGGTAAAAGCGGAGTTCCCCCAATCAGACTGCATTGATGGGCAGTGCAGTCTGTATGTCTCTGTGTGGGCAAAGTTATTGCTGGTATATTGTTTTTGTAGCGCTGTATATATATATTGGTATTTTACTAATAGCAATTTTGACTCCCTAGGAAACAATGATGTCAAGAAAGAGAAAAATTTACTCGGAGTGTAGGATATTCAAAGAACAGTGGACTTATTATTACTTTTTCATGCAGTACAATGAAAGAGCTGTGTGTCTGATATGCCAGAATATAGTGTCTGTGTTCAAAGAATAAATTTACGTCGACACTATGAAACTCAACATAAAGATTAATATGATTGTTTGGTCGGAGAAGTGAGAAAAGATAAAATATTAAAACTGAAAAATACATTAACAACTCAGCAAAATACTTTTGTGAAGCCGAAGCAGCTAAATATTTCATCACTACGAGCAAGTTTTCAAGTTGCCAATCTAATAGCGTGCACTGGCAGACCATTCGTGGAGGGAGAATTTGTTAAAGAATGCCTTCTTTCTGTTGCCAAAGAGATGTGTCCAGAGAAGGCCGATTTAATTAGTACAGTGAGTCTTTCAGGACCTACAATTACACGGAGGATTGAAGAAATGGGAGACAATTTGCATCAGCATTTGCAAAACTCCACAAAAAAACTTTCCTATTTTTCCTTGGCACTCGACGAAAGCAATGATGGTTGTGATTCTGCACAACTTCTAATTTTTATTCGTGGGACGAATGACTATTTCGAAGTCACAGAAGAGCTTGCTGCACTGCAAAGCATCAAAGGAACAACTACAGGAGAGGATATCTATGAAAAGGTTTGCCAAACTGTGAATGGTTTGGAGCTGAACTGGGCTAAACTAGCCAGTGTGACAACTGATGGTGCTCCTAGCATGGTGGGGTCTAAGAAAGGAGTAATTGCTCGCATTAACCAAGAGATGGACAAACATAACCATTCTCATCCAATAGCCATACACTGCCTCATCCACCAACAAGCGCTGTGTAGTAAATCACTGAAGTGGGACTCTGTTATGAAAATTGTGGTATCTTGTGTTAACTTCATTCGAGCTCATGCACTAAACCACAGACAATTTCAGGAATTTCTGTCTGAGCTAAATGTTGACTATGAAGATGTTCTGTACCACACAGAAGTCCGTTGGCTGAGTCGAGGGAGAGTTTTGAAACATTTCTATGACTTCCACAGATTACAGCTTTTCTGTTTTCAAAAAACAAAGAAGTACCAGAGCTCAATGATGCAGAATGGAAATGGCACCTTGCCTTTCTGACAGATGTAACAGAGCTACTCAACAGTTTCAATGTGCAACTTCAAGGAAAGGGGAAACTCATCTGTGATATGCAATCACATGTCAAAGCATTTGAAGTAAAATTAGGCCTCCTCATCAAACAAGTGAAGGAGGAAAACTTCTGCCATCTCCCCACAACTCAAAATCTGTTAGCGGAAAAACCATTGGTTGCATTCCCAAACAAAACATGTGTGGATTCACTGGAAAAATTGCAAAAGGAGTTCCAATTTAGATTTAAAGAGTTTCATCTCCATGAACAGCACCAACAGCTTTTCCGTAACCCATTTTCTATTGACATTGAAAATGTGGATACAATTTACCAAATGGAACTGGCTGAACTGCAGAATTGTGACTCTCTGAAAGACGCATTCAAGTCAAGCAGCCTTCATAATTTCTATGCATCTCTCCCCTCTGAGACATATCCTCATCTCAAGAACCATGCACTCAAAATGGCAACCATCTTTGGCAGCACTTATGTCTGTGAACAGACTTTTTCCAGAATTAAACATTTGAAATATCCAACCAGATCTAGACTAACGGATGCACGCTTGCATCACTTGTTACGACTAGCAGTGACAAATATGGAACCGGACATTGACCATCTCATTAGCCAAAAGCGGCCCATAGTTCCCATTGAAATACTGGCAAGTTTGTTGATTTAACTTTACTTGTTCTTCATTTTAAATATTGTATTTGTTCCCGTTTTGTTTCTTCACTTCAAAATAAGATATATGCAGTGTGCATAGGAATTTGTTCATCGTTTTTTTAACTATAGTCCGGCCCTCCAACGGTCTGAGGGACAGTGAACTGGCCCCCTGTTTAAAAAGTTTGAGGACCCCTGGTGTAGTGTATAGTAGTGTAGTATATAATGTAGTGTATAGTGTAGTGTACTAGTACAGCACACCGGTGTGTTGGAGATCCAAGCCACAACATTTACAATCTGAGTACGACGTTTCGCCAGTAATTACAACAAGCTTCATCAGGCGACAGCCAGATTTGTGGAGAAGTCCACCTGTTTAATTCCTTATATAGAGGCGTAGATGTGGTGACCACACTTCTACACTCTTGCGCAAAGTGGGGGGGGGGGGGGGGATTACTGAGGCAACGTACATGATGCATGCGCATTATGCGAGCCCTTTGATCTTGTCCTTCCTGTCCATTGTGTGTATTAAAATAGCCGTACCAATGGTAAACTATTGAAGTGTGGTGGCCGGTATAGGCATGCATTTAAATAATGTATTATTTGATGATTCGTTTCCACGCAGCACTAAGGCGGTAGCTATCGGAACGGTTAAAGTTATTTTTATTTCTTTCAATTTCGATATACTCTCTAATTAGTCTTGGCCAGTAGTAGCTAGTTTTGTATGAATCTGCCAATATAAAATAACTACGATACAATGTCAATCCGTATGGTACCCTAGAAGGATATAAAAGACGTTTCTAAACTCATGGGCCGTAAGCAACGCGGGTTTCCAAAAGGAACAGCGAGCGCGTGCAAGAGCGCCCCGTCGAATTTTTATTTATTTCGCTTGCAGTTATTTTTCTAGTCAGGATAGACCTCACAAAATGGACAATGAATAACAAAAAAATTAACCCGTAAAAACAAAGTTTTTCACTATAATTCCTTTATATGCGTGGCGGCTAGAGTCCTCTCGTCCTCTGGCTTGAGATGGCTGCCACCTATGGGTCAGATGATTGCCTGCCACCATTAAGCAATTGGTAATTAAATATTTTTAAAAATTCATAAAAAGTGTAAAGTTATGGAACAAAAAATTTCACGAAAATAAATTGTCACGCACAACGAGTCTGTGTGCAAAATGTCAGCTCGATTGGATCACGGGAAGTGGGTTAAAAAACGACCGAAAG